AAGGAGATCAGTAACATAGGGTCTTCTTGATGAAATCCTAATGCCTGATTCTTCAGGATGCAGGCATCATAATTGCATTTCCAAAAAAGCCTCAGTTCTGCGGGCATGTGTGTGCATGTGTGCCTGTGTTTGTGGATTTTGTGTCTCTGTGTGTGTGTGTGTGTGTGTGTGTGCGCGCGCACAGTGTGGGCTTGGTTTGGCTTTGTTTTTAGGTCAGATCACTGTGCATCTAAGAGCCTTATTCAGTTGTCCTTGTCCTGAGTACTTTGTCTTACACAGGCTGCATTACTCTTGTAAACAGAGGCAGCATCAAAGTGAGAGCAGAGAGAGTCCCATCAGTGGATTAAGGCCTTCTGCATGATAAAGTAGCTACCTAGGGGGGGATAAACTTAATATGTGAAAGAATGTTATTGAGAGGAATAAAGTACCAAAACTCTGTCATTCTCTTCGTAATGTCCTAATCTAATGCCTGACACTGGGGCCTTAGGCCAGGGTTAGTGTTAATCAATGAAATACCCCTCTGTGTTCCCTGTCCTTATCGCTATTTAAAACTAGCCTAAACTCAATTATTGTCCCTTAGAGACCAAGATGGGATATTAAGTTGATTGAAAGGAATTGTGTCCCACAAAGAAATCCCAATGTTAAAATGCAGAGATGTCAACATCACTAACTAAATTTCAGCTAAACAGAGATTAAATGTTAGTTCCTAGAACATGAAAAACTTGTATAGATTAAATCTAGCTAAAAATCCTTATTTGAAAACAGTTAAATTGTGGTAAACAGACTAATCAATCCAGAGCAGACTGGGTTTCTTAGAATAAAATAGATTGTTTACATCTCCCAGAATATAATTAACACAATAAATATACAAGGGTGATATTAAGGATGAACAAGGACTCAGATCTTAGGTCAGAGGAGAATAAGACATCAATATTTTCAAATTCATAATAATTGCTAGAACCATGAAGAATATTGGAGGGATATATAATTTATCTCTTGAAAGGTATAAATTTATCCCTTGAAGGCATCCCAACCTGCCTTACTCATAATTAAATTAAAAGACTTTTTTTTTTCCAGGGACAAGGAGAGGGCAGGAAGGAAGCACAATCCTACTGTTCAAAGATGCCTATAATTTCCTTAATACTTGAGTACAAAATGACGTTTTCCCTTTATTATTCTTCACTGCTTTGCTCTGCACCTATGTTTAATATATATTGCTTTTAGAAGAGAGCAAATTCTCTAAAACCAGGTTTTATGGCATGCACATATTTTACATGATCCTTAGAGAAATAAACAAAAAAACAGCCCTTTAAATAGGTGAGAAATTAGTCTAAAGCTGAGTGAATATGCTGTCATCATACTTCGTAAGCCTACCTATATGTTTAAAGGCAGATAGATTTGTATGATACCATTTCATAAGTTAGTAATAAAATTATAATTAAGAAGCTTATCTACTAATTACTGGTACCAAAGAATTCTCATTCCCTACTGAATACCAATTAATGCCAACTGCTAATATCAGTTTAAAAAGGCATATAATTATAGCACAAGAACAGTCTGGCAAGTCAATGGAACAGAATAGATGACTCAGAAATAAATCATAGGAATATATGGTATATGATGGAGGAGAAATCCTAAGTTAGTAGAAGAGAGAATTCTGACTCAATATTCACTAGGTAAAGAAGCCAGTTTAGTCATTACCTTGTGTACATACCCACAAAAATTCCAAGAAATAAAAAACTTGGTTGTTTTAAAAAATGTATCAATGGCAAGAAGAAATAGCATCAAAAATTAAAGTTTTAGAGAGAACATTTTTAGCTTAAAACAGTGAAATACTAAAAACCATCTGATTTAACTACATATAAATTTGTGATCGTTCAAAACAATTGAAATTGAAATATAAGCAACAAAGCAGGTAAATATTTACAGCAAATAGTATATAAAAATGACTAGCATCTCACTCATTGGCATGAAAGAATTATGATCTCCCATAGAACACAAAACTGAAATCATTTGTCAAGTGTCGAATCACAATGTTTTACTTAGAATTCTCTCTAGTCAAGGTCAGAACAATGAATGTCAGCACTGTGGCAGAGATAGAGCAATTTTTTGAAGCCTGGTTTTCGTGTCACCTCAGACTGCCTTTCTCAAACAATGGTTCCCAAAGGTGGGTGAAAAGTAGTCAATACATCTATTTTTTCAACAGATCACAAGCATTTATCTCCATTTATTCATTTTCACTTTGGTTGATGCTAGGTAGTGTCTGATTCCTTAGTGAAACAACCAGCAGTTGACTGATAGGATAACTTTCTGCACTATTTGAAAGGGAGATGAAGAAAGAAGAGTTAAAATGAACTGGGAAATTTCACCTAACAGCTTTTACCCATAACGTTTTAGGAAATTCAGCCAAATATCTTCAACTCCCTGCTTCAAATAAAATTCCTCATTTTTATCCACTCAAGTAGTCAAGCACTTAGAAAACAAAGAGAAAAATAGATAGGAAACACAGACCAATGATGAAGTGAATATACAAAACATCAACCATCTTAGAATTCTACAGAACAATACACAGTAGCATGATTCTATTTACATATAATACAGAAATGACTTGTAAAACCCATTTATTTAAACACAGCAGATATGAGGGTATAGTACCATGTGTCAGAGCCAAAGAGGGAAACAGTTTTGAAGTCAAGAGCACCTGCAATAGCCTCTAAATGTCAGACTGGAAAAAAAAATGAAAGTAAAAGATTGCTATCTTTCAGGGACTGAAGTGGGAGCTGAAGTGCTCTTCCTCAATTAGGCAAAGTGTGGTGCAGCTGATTAACCTGAATGTTACCTAGGTAACCCCAGAATTACACTGTAAATGAAATATGTTCAATGATAGGTACCTTTAATCAGACAAGAGCCACATGAACGTTTTGAGCAAGAGAACCATAAATCTTGGGTTTCTAGCACTTTAATCATTCATGAAATCACAGTCTTTTTTTGATGAGAGGCAAGCATGCTCACTTGTTATTAAATAAGCAGGAACAGAATATATGCTTTAGGGTGAGTAGGAAACATCTGAGGCTCGACCCCACACTTGATTGTAACACACTGCTATGGACAGAAACTACAAAAATGTTATGATTTTTCATGGGGCCTATTTTTTAAAAGGCGATGCTGCTATAAATCAATCAAATATTTATGTATTACTTTTCTTCTTAAAACCCTCCATACAAAGGAGTATCACTGGTAATATGTCAAAGAATATAATGTCAAAGAATTGTAAAATGTCAAAGAATTTCCATACAACAAAGTACAAATTCTGTGGTGTGAGTGTGCTGCAATTTTTGCCCTATAACAGAATTGGGATCATATATAAAGAACATTCAAATTCTGGGCCCCATTCTTTTCTCACGCTTCTATTGAATTCTGAACATCTTTCTAGGCCTTCCAGACTATGGGGAGCACTGATAACCATTTGAAAAGTAAATGAAGCACTTTAGGTGTTCAAAATTGCCTCCGGGACATTCTTGTGACCATCATCTTGAACTGTCAACTAAAGAGTAAAGTCCTAAGGCCATAGTTAGAACCTTAAAGACACATTTTAAAATTAATGGTGAGCCTTTTAAAATCTGTGATCGGGGAGGGGGAAAGGTCGGCCATTCGACCCTCTTTGTGGTTCTGCCTTTGCCAAGACACCCTCCTTCCAGAGATCTCACTACCTTTAGTTCTGTTTTTAGAGAAAGAAGCAGGCATCTATTCAGACAGAGATTTACCCCAATTCCCTTCTCTCTTTACGAGGTTTATCTTACCCATTTAACCCTTAACCGTGTATTTCCCTAATGCAGTATTTCTCAAAGTGTATTCTGAGAATTCTCTGTGAAACATTTATAGGAGAGAGTTCAGGGCCAACAGAAATAGGCTAAGCAAAGTTTGACATGTTCCTTATTAAGGACTTCCGTGAATCTTTCATGCTAATATTTTTTGGCCTCCTGTCAAACACTGAATATCCAGTGGGGACTAAACCAGACATGAATACTGCCACCAAGGAGAACATTCCAGACAGCCCATTCCAATATGTACATTAAAATGTCAACCTGCATTTTATTTGGCACTTGGTTTTCTAAGACTTTGGGTCATACTTTACACAATAGACCTGACATGTGATGGATATCGATATCCCCAATTACCCCCATTAATGCACTTGAGTTTTTGACCTGATTAATGGTATCACCTTCTGGTACTGGTATCACCTTGAACTGGTATCACAGTTCAAGCTTGAAAGCTGGCAATACTCTTCCACCTCCCTCTCACCCTCAAGACCAGCTGCTCTCAAAACCTCACAGTCTTTGTTCCTATTTTGCACTTTTGATTCTTCACACCTGGACCAATGATATAACCTCTTAGCAGAGTCTCAAGCTCCTGTCCCCCAAAACACAGAGAGAGAGAGAGAGAGAGAGAGAGAGACCGAGAGAGACAGAGAGACAGAGAGAGAGAGAGACAGAGAGAGGGAGTCTGCTCTCATACCCAGCATCTAAAGCAGCCTACATACCACTCCCACAGCGTTCCTAGTCAGTCACTAGATTCAGGATGAGACCTCTACAACTTGACTCCAAAAATTAGTGTTTCCAATCTTACCTCACAAGATTCCTCTCCTGGCTTTTACTCCTTAAGTCCAAGCAACTTCAACTGCTTAAGAACTGCAAAGTTAGCAGGGAGAACCTTTGCCCCATACCTGCCAAATAAAATCCCATCTATTTTTCCAGCTTAATACCACAACCTGACATCTCTCCTGACCCTCACATTCAGAATCCCCTCTCCTGCTTGTGCTACTGTAGCACTTTACTTGTATTTTTACTTATATTTCTAGCCTAGCACTTATCACAGTCAACTCTGCTTTTTATGTATTTGTCAGTCTCACCTCCTATCTAGTGAGATGCTGAAAAACAGAGATTGTATCTTTTTATATCACCATAGCATCTGGTACCAGACACACAGTAGGCACTTGTTACCTGTTGAACTGGCTGGAAATAAAGTGAAGCAAAAAGACTTTGACTCAAAATTGGATCCATAACAGGTTTGCAGGCAGTCGTGATTATCATGAAAACAGCTTCTCCAAGGCTGACCAGAGATGCCCAAGCAGACATATACAGAAAAATTCAAGTACTATAGAGGGAATAAAGAGAAATTTCAGGTGCACTTAAAAAAACAGCAGCATTCCTTAAAGAGTTAATGTACCAGTTTCAGTTAGGGTAGATGTCTTTATTGCCCGCGTACTCTTTAGAAAACATTAGGGAAAGGAATAGAAGTAATGTTTCAGGGGCCAATTAAAACAATCTGTTTTCGACCACTTATACTTGCAATGATGCACTTCATACTGAGTCCTTGTTTCTCTCCATGATAATCACCAATGAATGGAGATTATCTACACAGTACTTCTCTTAGGAATGATTTTGCACATACATTGGGCTAGAGATTGTCAATATCTTCTTACATCCAAACTTCCCATTTTAAGGAAAATTAATTTTAAGGAAAATTAAGAAACATCTCGCCTGTGGTCTTAGCTAGGCCCAATTAGGGAATACATTTTCCAGCATTCCATTAAAGTAAGTGTGGGCTTGAGGTTCGTTAGAACCAGTAAGATTTAAACAATAGTGGTTTGTGCAACTTTCAAGCCATGTACTTACAAGGAACTGCTAACCCTGCAAGTCCTCTTTCCCACTCCTGTGAGGTAAGATGCTGCTATGACGGAGGTGAATCTGCTTAGGGATGAAGTCAACACCCTAGAGGATGGTAGCACAGCAAAATGGAAAGAATCTGGGTATCTACTGTCTCATGGAACAAAACTGTTCTATTTCAAATAAGAGTAAAATGAGTTTACTATTTTTTCAAGCATTCATTGTTTTACTTTCTGATAAAGCAACCTAACCAAAATGTGACCTAACAAATGTTCATGATACCTAAAGGACTCTAGGCCCTGAAGTGACTTCTCATACCATCATGAACGTACAGGTGTAGGACTACAACCCAGGTTGTCCAGTTTTTCCAGAAACAAGGGAACTAAGCCCAAGAGAAAGGAACACAGAACAGGTGTATTTTGAGGCTAGCAGGGACAAAAAAGTCAAATGATGTGATCCTATTATATGATCCTCTATGTGATTCTAGTAAATAGATGTGGAAGAAAATAAATCAGCAACAAGAACAGGAAAGTTGGCAAGGGGACCTCCTCCAGAGCTTAGCAAACAGATAACCATGCAATTGTTCTCTACGCTGAGAACTCCTTGAGGGAAGCCATATTTGATATTTTTTTCCTAAATCTTCTGGTGCATAACAGGCAAATTCTAAATGTTAACTGACAAGTAACAAAATGTCAAGTAGTAGTAAAAGAATAATCAACTGATCATAGTTGATCAATTTTCTATTTCAATATCTAATTTTCTGTCAATCTACATTCATCACAATTATCCCAACAGGAACTTGAAAAAAAACTATAAAATAATTTTGAATTTGCTATGCACCTTGGTAGCAATGAAATCCTCAAGTGTCCACCTGCCAGAGTGATATCAGGAAGCAACAGGGAGCAGTCAGAAGGGAAGGTCACAGATGCCAAAATTAGGAGGCAGTTTACACTCTTCCAGATGAAGAACTGTTAAAGCAGTGATGGATCGCAGCACAATGAGAACCTCTAACTAGGTTTGCTCGACATGGCATCAAGTCAGTAACATCAACTGCATTCAGCAGAGTAAAAAAAAAAGTGTCTGTATGCTGAGATGTCAGCTTGTAAAAGTGTCAGTCTCTAAAATAAATAAAGTAGCAAATGGAAAACATATAAATAACTATACTTGATGCCAGCAACACTGAGTAAGAAAAAAAGCCATTTTAAAGGAATTTTCCTTGTTAACCACACAGTGAGTTGGGCTGAACTGGAGGATTTTCTAGATTAGCAAAAGAAGTTTTACCAGTTTTATATAAAACTGAGGGTCTGATGGGAAGAAAGTTGATGAAGAGCCAATATCTGGGTTCTAACCTCTGTTGATATGACACACCCTGCATCTCAGGAATTTTTTTTAAAGATTTATTTATTTATGCATACAAAAACTGGGGAACAGGCCAGAGGTGTGGGGGTGAGAGGATTCACCAGACAGAATGGGGAGCAGAACAGAAAGACTGACTGAAATACACTGCTGAGGGGAGCAGCGGGCGAGACAGGAGAGGTCTGCTGCGCCATGTGGGTAGCTCCCTGGCCAGCCAGGGATCAAACTCGTGCTGCAAAGGCTGCGGATTGCTTCATAGTGCAGTGCTTAATCCCTTGCACCACCAGGAGGCCCAACATCTCAGGAATTTTTACCTAATTTTTAATTTAGTCAGAGAATTTTGCTGAACCTCACCTGTTCACCTAGTTTGAAAACCTGGTAATGACACCACAATCTTAGCTCAAATTCTGAGGGTAAGGCAAAATGTTACCCAGAGAATAAAATGCATGCATGACTGCAGGGAAGCCAGCAGGGGCCAATTCCCATAAACACACCCAGGCTTCTGTGCAATGGTGCTTAAAAAGCTTTAACATGACTCAAAACCTTAAATTCTACAACATAAAGTGCAAATGTTCCTGAAAAGAACATTGCACAGACCTGAGATGGCAAGATGCAGCACATGAGACCATCAGATTGAAGGTTGAGAGATCCAAGTTCAAATCCTACTTTGAATCAAATCCTTTACAAAGTGTGCAGAACAAGAGTGGGAAGAGCACAGGGGACTATGGTGATGGTACATGGGTGAATTGATGGTGGGAATTCCACGGGGACTATACCCGAGATGATAAAGCATACATTGTATAAAAATGAAGAATGATGTAAAAAGTACATAAAATAATAAAAAAGATATATTTGAATGAAAATATAAATAAACAAAACAAGTTAAAAATTGATCCATGAAATAAATTTTAAAAAATTTAAAAAGAAAATTAAAAGGTGAAAGAAATAGGAGAAAAAAACACCAAAGTGTGCAACTTCAATAAGTCCTAGTTTCCTTATTTGTAAATTGGGATGACGGAGTAAGAACTAGAATATGTATAGCTTACCTAAGAGATGTGAAAGGTAGAGAAATATTTATGGCACAAATAAAAGTTTTTTCCAAGCATGGGAATGGGAAGGACCTTGATACTCAAAACAGAAACATTCGTCTGAAGTTAGGTAAGCAGATAAATAAATTTATATTTCTTGCAGAATTAGATCAACTTTATTTCCTCATCTGTGCTCCCAAATTTGGGGTCTTGCTTCCAAACACTGGGGCTTTTGGGGAACCTGCAGTCAATGGAAGATTTCATCAACTTTTAGTTGTGTGTCGAGTTTGGGTTGCAAGTCTTGCCCGTAGCTTCATCCAGCTGAAAGTTTAGCTCTGAAGTACTTTCAAAACCCTTGTGGTTATATGTTTTGAAAAGATGAGAACAGGGGATCAAAAATGAGAATCTCCTATCTCCACTCCCTCACTGTCCTTAAGGAATCACAAGTTCCCTGAGTGCCCACATTACATAAGACTTACTGAAATGCCCACTTTATGCTATTAATTCATAAAGATGAATTAAATCTTGAATCTCACCTGCATCTGAAACATTTAGGATTAAATCAGTTATGTGGCTATTTCTAAAAGGCACATCCATATTTATACTCTATTTCAAAACACGCCCTTCTACAAAATTATCACCTTAGTGATCTGATTCAATTTTGTCAAATGGCTTCAATTGTTGAGTGTTCCCTTCATGATCCTTTAATTATGACCTCATTCTCTTCATTGAGTCTTCTGCTGAACTACTAATCCAAACAACTATAATTAGAAAATTTTCTAGGTTGGAGAGTTGAGTTAGTTACAAGGTCACCTGCTGCATCTAAAGCAATTACTGAGTGGTAAATAATTCGATTGACTCAGGCCAACAGATTCCTCAATAACATTCCTAATTTTCTAATAAAATTATTGTCTTCTTTCCTACACATATAGATTTTCTGTCATGCAAAGGTTTCTCTACCACTATTGCCTCTATCTTCCTATTACTAAGCAATTCTCTATAGGTAACAAGAGTCCAATGTATTATGCATGTTCTATTGCTCTAATAAATAAAAGGATTAGCTTGTTTACAGCTGCCAGTGTGGTCTGTTAATTTGGCATTTCATCTGGCTATGTCTGACTACAGAGATTAAAATGAAGTCTGCCTTCATTTTTCTGGAAATGAAGGCTAATCTCTCAACTATCCAAATTTGGTACTTGAAAAAAAATGTTAATATAAATCTATTTTTCCTCCCAACCCATTCAGCATCCTTGCTGGGATTTTTCATGACTGAATACCTTGGTTAGTTACACGATTGTCTATCGTTATGACTCTCATTTCAACCTGCACGCAAATCTTTTACTAAGGAAAAAAAAAAAATCGGGCCTCCCTAGTGGCATAAGGGGTTAAGCACAGCACTGTGAAGCTGTCCGCAGCCTCTGCAGCATGATTTCAATCCCTGGCAGGCCAGGGAGATACCCCCATGGCACCGCAGACCTCTCCTGTCTTGCCCACTGCTCCCTTCAGCAGTGTATTTCAATCAGTCTGCCTGTTCTGCTCCCCACTCTGCCTCTGGTGAATACTCTCACCCCCCACACTGGCAACTATGGCCTATACTCCAGTTCTTGTATGCATAAATAAATCTTAAAAAAAAAAAAAAAAAAAATCAAAATTGAGTCCCTATAATTTCAGAAATGAAGTCTTGGGCATAATAATATTAACAAGCTCCTTTTTCTGGGTCTTCTAGAAAGCAGAAATTGCTTAAGATATCTTCAAATTATGCTTTGGGAAACCTGATAATATTATGACACTCAGTCTTAAAACCTCCAGAAAACTACTTGCTATGTCTAATTCAAATATAAACTTCATTCTTATATATAATGGCAATTATTCAAATATGTTGTTCTTCCTTTGTTTCTTCGTCTGTTGTAAGTTCTTTTTCAACCCCTTCAGAGTTTTCAAGTACCTTTTTTTCTTCATACAATGCCATCTTAACACTTCTTTCATAAGATCTTTCCAGGACTACTTGAGCACACTCAAAATATGACAAGAGAACAAGCTGCTACCTGTAATAAAAATGAATGACCTTTCAAGTCCCTTTCAACTAAGAATCTATAAATCTTTTATTCCATTTATGTGCTAGATCTTGAACTAGGGCTGTAGCCAGGGAGAACAGAAAAAAAAAAAAAAAAGGGTCAACCAATTTTGTTTAAATTTATCAATGGAAAACTAAAAACAACTCCCAATGAGACACTTACAACACAGAAAATTACTACCACACTGCCTTCATGTCTCATGTATCTATAGGATTTTTTGATAGATGGGTCACCAGAAAAAGGGCCCACATTTGTATGGCTTGGAACTACTGTGCATTTGGCATGAATCTTGCAAAACTTGGTTTCCTAAAATGTTTAAGGGAAAAAGTAGAAAATAAATCTTACATATTTTCCACAAGCTTCCTAATATTTTGAGCACTGCAAATCTGGTTAAGGGAGATACAATGCAAGGATAGGTACTGAACAGCTGTCCACATCTGGCATAAGCTAACAGATAATAATTTGTTGATTTCATTGCGTGACAGAGATAAGGCCAGATATCACTTCATTTATCCTCAGAACAGTCCTGGTAGATGCATACTGGTTTTATCCTCATTTAAAAGTGAGGAAACTGAGACTTGGAGAAGTTACGCGATACAGCATATGCCCAGCGGTAACAGATGTGGAGCCTGGACACATAGT